CCCCAAAACCCCAAAACCCCAAAACCCCAAAACCCCAAAACCCCTTTTTAGAAAATTAGCATTGAATATAACTATGGGGTTAGATAGCTCATACCTTCATACATTATACTAGAGTTTGGTTTAGCTTAGCTCCTTTCTTTATCACTCTCCTCTTCTTCGATCTGATCAAATTTGAAATAGACTTTTTCTTACTCTGATCTAGATTTTCATATAATTTTTTAATAAAATTTGTCAATTTTTACCTTCACTAGAAACACTCCTGACATTAGCATGACTAGTTAATGTATAAGGAGTTGAGACAAGCGAGAGGACTTCTTTCCTCAATGTCTCACCTCCAGTTTGGTCTATTTGACTATTTTCAAAAGCTTCAACCTTATTAGAGCTTTCTACTGAGCCTTTGCTAATTTCTTTAGACCTTGGTTGATTCTCATCGGAAGAAGACTCTTCGTCTTCATTCTCATAAATAACTTTGATATCTCTATCAAAGAACATTCCGAAAGGGGCTGAAGCGTGTTCATCCGACTTATGTTCCTTGATGCTCTTTTTCAGGAGCCCCTTAAATGAATCGTCCAGATTCACTTCTTGATGAGGAATTATTGAGATGGGTTCTCCAAAACTAAGATCGATGATGCTATTGAACTCTTTGTTATTTGGGACTAAATTTATCTAATGATCCCAAGTGCTCGTCTGTGCGTCGCAGAGGGACTTCCTTCTTAACCGGCTTCCTGCTTTTCCCTCTGATTTTCTTGATCTGCTTAACTTTGGTAGGACCTGGATTTGAACTAAGAGGATCATGAAGATTATTACCTATTAGGATTGTACTCGTCGGTCTCACCACTTAGGTAAATGCTTGATGCGTTTTGGCTATTAATCCTCAGGTTCTGAATATTCGCATGGGAGTCCCTCTCTGCATTTCATAAGTTTACTTGAGAACCTCCGGTGCTTTGTCTATTACGAACTTGAGTCCTGATCTTAAACTGGTTCATGTCAAAAAGCTGATTTGATTTATTCTCTTCTAATTAATGATTTTCACATGCCAAACCTTTTGGTTCCTGATGGTTTGGAGCAAATCTCTCAAACATGTTTGAAGTCTGGGCTAAAATCCAGTTAGAGCCGTCTATATACCTTTTGAAGGCTCCTCATAAGTCATCTCATCTGGAGGTGCTGAGTCCCTCAGAGAGCCCAGCTTCCTCGGTGTGATCATCTTATATTCCTGAGACATTGGATGTAGAGGGACTACAGACTGCGAGTTCTGAAAACTTGTCTCAAACGAGGAGGTTTTCACATTTGTCGATGATTTTTGATGGTTCTTAGTTGCTATATACCAATCATGGAGGTACATACCAGTTCTTGAGCTCATTTCGAGGAGAGAAGTGCTGCTAGGTTGTTGTTGACAATGGATAAAGCGTTCCTCAGAAGGGTTTTCACACTCTAATAAATTTCCATTGAGCCTATTTAATCCTATTAACATCTCTATTTCCATATTTTAACTGGCTCGTATGGTTAAATGAAGAGTCTTGCTGTTTGTTGTCTTCTCTAATCTGGCCATCTGGAAGACTAGAGTATTACAATAATTTTACCTTCAACTGGATCGAAGGTGTCCATCATACTCTACAGAATAATTACTGAAATAACTACACTTTACCAAGTCTTTCAATGCTATTTTTCACACATCCTTGTTTGTTGAGTTTGTGCTTGGACCAGAAGGTAAAAATTCGCCGAGCTTTGCGGTATTTTCATAGAACTCTGAGGAGTAATATCAGGCTTAATAAAACACAGAGCCCAAGGATTCAAAATAAGACTACAAAATATACTTTGTAGCACTCAAACTGACCTTGGCATTTGGTGCCCTTACATCAGTACTTTCAGGTTGGAGTACAAGTTGAGTTGCTAGTCTGTACATTATTACATAAGCTAAATATAGAATTTCTGTCAAAATAGATGCGATTCCTTACCATTTTTCTACAAAATATTATATTTAAATCACTTCAAAGCCAAAGTTACATATAGGGGTTTTGGGGTTTTGGGGTTTTGGGGG